AGGCACCGACACACAAGTGTGTCGAGTACCAGTTCCCTCTGTTACCCTAATTAGAGGGGTGGTAGAGGGAACCGCGAAAGCTCCGAAACGAAAAGACTCCGTAAACCCGGCGGTATCAAATCTCCGTAAACTCGGCAGTGTTGTAGCAGGAGATTCATGGGGTGAAACATTCAATCCAAGAATGACAATCCAACGTATGCAGAGAACGCTGAGTCGATGTGTGATTCACGATGGCTTCGGCGCCTCTCTTGCGAGAGGATCACACTCTGCACCCAGTGGGACGACAGAGCGGCACACACTTTGACAATGGCTTTTCAGCTACATCAATTCCACGCGGAAATGAATGAGGGAACAGAAAGGCGAGTGAGTCCGAAAAATTGAAGATGTTGAACACAGGTGTTGCAATCGCTCAGAAATCGCAGAAAACGGCGGCAGCGAGCTCAGCAGCTAGAAAATGAGTTTGTGGGTGCAAACCACCATGGAAGCAAAAAATCAGGAATTGGACAGCGTGGTCAAAAGTTTCGGTTGCAGGTACACGGAAATGATCAGCTTCCGCTTCCTAGGATCTTGCAAAGGGTTTCGTTGGGCAGAGCCTTGCAAGTCCTCTCTGCCCCCCTGCAAACTTGGAAGGGTTTTATCCTAGAAACGGAGGGTGACACACACACACACACGCACGCACGCACCCATCATGTTACCATCACTTGAAAACTGCGACCTTTCTCTGCATTTCCATCACTTGGTGGTCATCACTCTCGTTTTTGCTGGGGGCGAGGCAGTGGATGCCAACATGTTCGCAGCAGATTGGGAGAATCGACAGTTCAAACTATTTGACCACCACTGGGTTCCCAGGCGAGTCCTTGACATTTCCTGCATCTCGGTGTGGAGTCTGGCCGAGGTATTTGCCCCTCGATGTGAACGAGGTCTACTTGAACTTTTCAGCCACCTTGCCGGAGGTGCTCGATGGCAAGGCGGCCCTTGTTGTTTTCGATTTTCTTTTTCTCCGGTTCCTATACCACCATATGGAACAAACCATATGGAACAAACCACCCCTTAATCTACTTGGAACAGGTGATGATTGGGTTCAATTGAGATCAATTGGAACTCCCAGCATGTGGGCACCTTTTTTTGTGAAGCAGCTTTCTGTCCACCTCCGTGATCCCCTATCCGAACCAAGAATGTGCCAGTTCTTTGATTTCTTATTGAAGGCGGCTGGAAAACCAGCCTTACTACTAATATTGATTGAGAACATGGCAGACATCATTCATGAAACGTCTATTGAAAGGAATTATATAATGGCACCATCATCATCTCCATTTTCCCTTCCTCTACCACAAGCCCTGTGAGTGGCAGCCATCTCGCGGACCAGCATGTCTTTTTTGAAGCAATACTTGGAGCGTACCACGAAGTAAGGACCCCAGTGTCCTTGTTCCAACCGCGCCAGGTGGATCACATGGGAAGCGTCTTCCTACTGGGAGGTGCGCTCATGGGGACTCCGCCACATCACCACGGTCCTGCGGTGAACTCCTTGGTATTTGGCCGCAAAGTGTGGTTCTTGGATCCCCCTGGACGTGAGTTCGTGGCGCACGAACCCATGTATGAGCCTTGGAGATGAAATGCGCTGGCCAGATGTGGACGACGAGAATAGGGAGTTGGCAAGATCATCGAGGAATGTCCTTTCACGATGTCAAAGTCAATCCGAGGCCATGTAAAAAGAGAGTGAAATCCCTTCCCAACAGCGTCTTTTCCAGTTCTCCAAGAGTTCGACCCTCCCAAAAGTGAAGGTGTTTGGTGTTCTCAAGGTCCTTGGGAGATTCCGGTGACCGGGCCAATTGACCAAGGCGATATCAAAAAAGGACGATTCGTGCGAGACTAAATAGAACGCACCGTCCAAGTGTGAGTCAAGTGACTGTGGAACCAGTCCATTGAAGAATTGTATACAATTGTAGGACATGGCATGTACAGTATAGAGTTGATTTTGGAATGAACATGAAGTTCTACCCAAATTAAGGCTCACTCACCCTGATCGTCCCATGTCGAACAGTGTAGATGATCATCCCTGATCATCCCTGATCCATTGGATGAAGACTACGGAACGCGATGGCACAGCCCGCAAGCCGACTGGCCATGTGCGTGGGCCGGAGATCTTCCCAAACTTCCTCTTAAATGAATGCGTCATGCCTTGACGGATACTTCTCCAGGCCGAGAAAAACACCAGAAGCCACTGGTATATATTGATGTCTCCCTTGGATCAGAACCATCCATTTGCAGGGCTGTGGTCAGAACGACACATATATCAGCCTCACCACTCAGGCCATGCCTTCTGAACTGGGGATCTTTCGGTAGGGTGGCCAGGACCTACGGTGTATTGCTTTCGTAATGGCCCACACATTCGGACTGAGCTTCTAAGGAGTATCTGAAGCGGACGAAGGGTGCGTGCCGCCCTCAACGTGACCATTGGAACAAACTACAGTGGACACAGTGCCGACCAAGTGTCTACCATGACTCTGACCCACTTGATTAGTCTGAGATGCCTACTTCTGTACCAATCTGTTCCTGCACGCATGGGACATGTAGACATGAGGCTGGTGACGCACACATTAGGAGAATCTGTGGATATCCCAAACAGGTCAAGTAGAACCCCCAAAGCGCGGGGCCAAAACAGCCAACCCATCGACCCTCTCCACGCCGTGACCACTTGCTTTTGACTGACAGCCTTTCGAGGGACCGGAGCGCCCAGCCGCAGCTCACTGAGGCCATCGTCCCGACGATGCTTGCAGGAGCCAGGCGATCTGCTCTTTGTGTGGCAAGCTCAGGAGCTTTCTGTGGGCGTTTGGAATGATGTTCCCGGCCCTTTTTTGGTTTGGTCGGCCTGGTAGGCAGAAAGGAGGTGAACGGATACAGTATATATACTTACATATATGAGACGTATGGTGATTGTAGCCCCAAGACGTGGGTTTGCGCCAAACTCTTGGGACATAGATCTAGCACCTGGTCATAGCAGATGAACACTCAGAAGGTCAGCATCGGGGCCATCTGAGTTTCGGGCAGACCATGCAAGTAATGACTTGGTGAAGATTCCAATGCAGCAAACGATATTTTTTTCTGGTGGCAAGGATGAAGCCGGTTTGATTCGTTCACCTAAAGGAGAAGTTAAACGTAACTCTGTCCTGTCCTGAGTAAGATCATTCTTCAGTTCACATCCCTTCACTTCACTGTGTTTCTCAAGGATATGAAGAACACGGTGTTTCAGCTGTTCACTATTTTCAGAACGGTCATGGTATCATGCCTCGTGCCCGGGGCACTGTCTCGGGAACCGGCCACCAAGGCCTAGAGGATGGACTCATAGCACCTTGTGCTTGAGCGATTGCGTGGCCGTCTCCTTGGAGTTGCTTGGAGGTGTTGGATTGTGAAATCTGAAATGAAAGAGACACGTATAAGATCATACAAGAGTTCCATTTGGTTTTAATCTCTATAGATGTTTTTTTTGAGATCTATATATTTAGTTATTTTGCCTTCTTTCTTTTTTGTTTTGATGAAAGAATTGGGACGAAGAAATGGGGCACAGACCGGTTCTCCGACCAGCCTTTCTTACAAACGCTGCCCACAGCGTGTGGGCCGTAGTGAGGCGGGAATTTTGTTTGAAACAACTCTGAACATTTGTTCCTTTTCGATCATATGTTTTCTTTATCTTTGGACCTTTCTTCCTTTCTTTCCTACATGTGAAACTTGGTCCAGGATGTGAATGCCACTGGCTTTCATTGTGTTTTGCTCAAGTTCCGAATGACAGCCCAACTCGTGGGGCGGCCTCCCACAAACATTTCTCATTTGTGTTCTGCATGTTCCAGGGTTGGGGCCTGGCTGGGGCTGGATTCCAACTCCAAGTCCACATACATCCAAACTACCAACTCAAAAGGCCTGCAAATATATGTAATATATATATATATATATATATCAGGTCTTCAAATCTTTACACACCACCTGCAAGGATGATAGCATGCTACTCCAAGCAATTGAAGCCCAGAGTAGACAACCAATCCCGGATGGGGTTAGTGATGTTCTTCGTCGTTCGGGCATGAAACGACGCAGACACCCGTGGCCTGCGCGAGCTTGGTCACACAGGCTTCTGATTCCTATGGGGGTCTCACCAGTTATGCCCCTTCAAGGATTCGATGAGATCCCCGGTGATCATTTTGGGGGTGGTTCTCTTGTATACATGACCTATCTGACATTTGATCTGAGGCGACAATGAACCCTACAGGTTTTCTCAGCATGCCAGTCCGATCGGATTGGGTCCGAAGAAAACGATGGACACGTTAACATGACAGGTGATTGACAGGTCGACCGCCCCTTGTGGCTCCAGTTTCTTTTTGTGGAGATTGGAGCCTTGGCTGAGGTTGAGCCATCAGATGTTTGATCTTAGAGACTGATGGGGTGCCAAAAGAGCACGCCTATCGCGGTGCGAAAAGGTCGGTCTTCCGCGCAATGGTGGTGAGTGGGGTAGGCGATGTTATTGTGCATCCCGTGTGAGAAGATCTGCGGTTTGACGATCATTTTCCCAGCATGGAATAGCGCGAGTCTTTTTGAAGACACTCAAACAAAATGAAACAAAATGGTCACTCGCTCAAGTGACCTCTCCTAGTAAACCTAGGGGGTAGACCGACATATGTAAGCGATCCTTTTTCGCCTTGTATTGCACGGGTTTGGAGAAAGAATGTCGTAGCAACTGACAAGCCCATTTCAGACCTGGATTGATCTGCCCATGCAATGGCAGATGCGCCATTGCAACTGTTGGTTTTGACCAACTATCAGTGGAGCCCTGAAACTTGATTGACATCTGCTTAGGCTTTTCCGAACAGCAAATGATCAGGGGATATCTATCCAATCTATTCCAATCTAATATCATCCCTTTTGAGAAGCAGGGCCCCAGCAAATTGTTGCATTCTTCCTGCGCGCGACACAACATCTGGGCGGATGTCTGGACTCCTTCGCCAAGCATCCAGGCCAAGCTGAGCTTTGATCCTGATCCCGACAACGTGCTTCTCTTGCACAGCATCGCGGCCGAGGTGGGCACAGTGGACCACCAGGGTGGGTTGAAGAGTGACTGAACCTCGGCCGGCGCGGGAGGTTCCTCCATAAGAAGCTTACATTCCAGCAACAGCGACAAAGCCTGGATTGTGACCGGAGAGATTGCTTTTCTTTTTTTAATCTTTTTTCGCATGTGTCCGCCACAGAGGGAGACATGGAGACGTGAATGGTCGATGTGCCACAGGATGACTCCCCCGAGATGCACCAGAGGAAACAGGAGCAGGAGAAGGCAGAACGAGCCAGAAGAGAGCAGAAGGCGCTGGGGGCTTTGGGGGTGCGGGATGAAGTATGATAGTGTTTTGAGACATGCGGGACGAAGCACGTCACGTACTCGATGTAGGTCTCTCTACGCTCCTATGATGGCGTGTTTTCACACCTGGAAATCTCGCAACCATGTTGGGGTTGAGGGCTCTACGCCTACCCAGGCCTGTGACGAAAAGTCAGTGATTTGGAAGGATCCCTTTTATGTTTCTCCTCAGCAAGGAGGTCGACAGTCGGATAACGCAGACCCGGGCCGGCATCTCTTAATTAGATTACTGTAACGAGTTTAATATACATCCCCTCAGAGGTTAAGCCCCTCGTGGGTCCTGGGAAGGTTTTTTTGGACTTTTTCCCCAGAACTTTGGTGCTGGGTTTCCCACGTGTCCACCTTGCGAGAGACATTTATGTGAAGACCATCGATGACAACCGTAGGTGTGCGGGAAGGGTTCTGTTGTACTATCCGCCACCTAACTGCGCTTAACTTGGATGCAAGCTGCTGTTGACACTTAAATCAACTTCCACCTTGAAGCTGCTTTCGGCTGTGCCCATGCTGGCGCATGGTGCCACTTGGGCACAAGAGAGTGTCTCATTCGGGATGAAAGCAGAAGAGAGATTGCTTTGGGACCCCCCCCTCACCCAAGAAGAGTCTTTTGTTTCGGAAGGTGGGTCAGGGAGCGGCTTCGGCGGGTTCTGGCACGTACCCGGAGAGGTCGTACCCGGGAAGCTCAGGTACACTGGCCCACAAAGGTGGGATTTTCCACGTGTGTTGGGGCATTGGCAACAAGAAGCTACGCACGGTGGAAGCCATCGTAAAGCCCAAACCGATTCCACCGAATGGACGCCCAAACCTCGGGGGGGGGCGGCACCCACCCACGACTGCAGCATAGACTGGAGGAGCGCACGGCGATTCTGACGCGGGTGGCTTAGACCGGTCGCATGGTGGGCCAGTGGGGGGGGAGGGGATCGCAAGGAAAAAGGCAGGGCATTGGAGCTGGAGCTGCTTTATTTCTCTGAGTGCTTTAGACGTCAAACGTGTCATGAGTCACATGAGCATGGCTCAACAGATCACAGCAATCAGGGTTCATCAACAGCCTTTAGATGCCTTGGTCCTCTACAAACCCTTTTTTGCGGAGCCTGTCATGGCCATGGCCGAGTCTCAACCGACCTTTGGTCCCGAACGAACATGACTCTCTCTCTCTCTCTCTCGACTTCAGAAATCACCAGACGTGAGAACCTTCACGTCGCTGAACAGCGAGTCGCTCAACAGGACAGAAACAGACCCGTCTTTTTGAGGCTCGAGGAATGCACCATGGAGACCGTGAAGCTGCACACCGAGGAGTGACCAGCTGGGCGGACGAGGTCGGTGAGACTCGGAGCTTCCCCCGTTGGGTTGGGGCCTCCGCCTCGACTTTGGCAGGCCTGAACATATCATGTGATGAGAAGGTTTATACCCCTTGACCTGGGTCCAGGTGTGGGAGAGGTGTCATTTTGCCTGGGGAAGTGTCACAAACACAAAAGGACAGCCAGCAAAGCCAACCTGTAAAACACCACCCCCTGGGACTTTTCGGCTACACTGTGTACATAATCTCTCTCTATCAATCTATATCTATATTATGTAACATATATATATATAAATATGATTAAATATGTATGTATATATATATGTATATTATATAAAACTTTATAGTGTATGTATAATATATAATTCTAAGATTCCTAGAAGACAAAGTTCCTTTTCCCCAAAGACGGTGGTCGACCAGCACTCTCTTAACTGACTTGAGACTGGCAACCTGTGTTGTCCCCACCGATGATTCAAACACAGACGACGGGGTCAAGTGCTCCAAAAGGACAGGTTTCGTGGCAGATAGGAACCTTGAGACCTTCTCCTCAGTAGTCTGAGTCCAGGCCAACCCTCGACTCGCAGACTTGCAGAAGTTGGTTTGTCAGTCCAGAACTTCTTTCGTCGTTTGCTCAGCAAGAGGTTTCAATCTCGTCACCCTGCCCCATTGATCTGACGACTTCCTCCCCTGAAAACCTCCCAGGAGGTCTTCAAGATGAAGTTTATCCGCTCCATTGCAGAAGCCCTGCAGATCCCTAAACATCGCGTCAAGGTGAGTGAGACCGTGATTGTGGGAGAATGAGTGTGGGGGCACAAACGAAGCTGCTGTGGGCTGTTGGTGCCTTGTTTTGGTGACCGAGGAATGACAGGCAGTGGATGGACCAGAAACACCTGGACGCACCATGAAAGAAGCCACGAACCGAGGGGTTCTGACGAGGCTTTTAAGTAGAGACGACACCAGTGCGTCGATACCTGGGCGCCTTCTGTTTGATGTGACTGGGAACATCACAAAACCCGACGATGACAGGAAGTGGAGTTCCTCATTTTGACCCAATGTCGACTCTTGATGATATTTCAACCCCGATATGAAGAGATTCAATTCAAATGTCTGACAAACACCCGAAGACCAAAAGATCAATTTTCGATCTACACGTTGAAGCTGCTGCCAGGAAACCACAGAGTGTGTTATTGCTTTAAATGTGATGTGTCTTTTTGGCAGCATAGGTCAGGGTGTGTGAAGAACCATTTGGGGTATAGTAACATCCAAAAAACCAGTAAACACCGTTCTTCAACAGCAGAAAGAGAGTTCTTTTTGTTTCAGAATCCTGCTCTTGGTGGGTCGGACCTCATGCAGATGTTCCACTTGAAGGCGAAAGCACCAAAGGTCTATTAGACCCAACAGATCCCAAAAGCATTCTTCCAAGCCTCCAGTGACGACCAGTGACGGCCAGTGACGGCCAGTGATGACGAGTGACAACAGGATGTGGCTTTCTTCTCAGACTGCTTCGCAGTGAGATGCGAGCACATGTGACCACGTGGGGCAACCCAACCGTATCGTTCCAACATAGCAACCACCCGACCCTCCAGATGCATCACTGACGGTGTTGCAGGACTTTGCAGGACTGACTGAAGTTACAAACCCCGCGAGCAGGCACTCGTTCATTTCTCAAGGATCAGTCAGGCTGCCGCAAGCAGCCACCGTTTTCCCGATGGCACGAGTTGCCGCGAGACACGTGGGACCTCATCTTTGGTGTGGCGTGCGACATGGCACGAGCGGTAGCTCCTATGCTCCGGTGCAGCGGCGAGCCGTGCCGAAGCAGCTGGAGAGTCTTGTGTCAGGACCCGAGCGACCAGGTCGCCGAGTGCCCACGGTGGAAGAGCTGCATGTGGCCCATTGTCAATCCCTGGCTTTGCAGCCCAAGAGCACTGAAGCCCACTGGAATTGGGCTGCCTTAAGAGCTTGCAAGCTGGCGAATACCATGAAGACTGGAGACATTTGGAGGCATTGAGCCTGCGTGGAGCTTTCCGTCCGAAGCTGGGGGGTATGAACAGGCCGTTTGGTCTTGCCACGGTTCACCTGCGGTTCACCTGCGGGTTCGTTCGGGCGCATAGGAGCCCATCTCGTGTGCCAAAAAGAAAGCACCTCGAAGGTGAATTCTTTGTTGCTGATGTTGAGGCTTTCCCAATTCTGTGCGTGTCATTTTATTGCACGTGTTGGATCGTTTTTTGGGATTTGGTTGAGAGGGAGGGTGAACTTGTGGTGGGAAGGGGCAACGGCCGGCAACGACCGGCAACTGCCGGCAACGGCCGGCCCTCAAACATTAAAGAAGTGTCTAGAACCAAGAGAAGAGGCTTCCCGCACATTGCTGACAGAACAATTCACTTTCCCTCTGACTCTTTGGGCACCTTTGAGGGAATGGAGATCCCTGTGTTCACGCTGAAAAGGACCTTGGATGACCTTGGGAACCACCAAGTTCGAGCGAACTGCAGGAGTTGATGGGTGCCGTGCCATGATTTTCATGTTGCTGTATAAGTCACGCCGCCGCCAGCTGGACCCTCCAATCTGGGGATCACCGGCTGGACTATGCTGATGGGTGTCCATTGACAACCTCCAGGTAGAGGGCAATGTGCGGGAGAAAGGTATGACGAAGAGTTCAAAAGGGATTTACAAAAGCAAGGCCTATAGTGGAATGTGAATACTTCTTGGATAGATAAAGATCCCAAGAGGTCTTGACTCTGCTTATGTCTCTGATGAAGCAGACCAGATTTTGACAGGAAAAAGGGTAGAGGGCCCTACAAACAAGCCAATGGAAACAGATTCAATAAACACCGACAGCTGGCCTTTGCCTGACATGACGGGCTGATTCTGTTAACAGGATGAATCCCAACAGAAAAGAAAAGAAGGATCTCTCTACCCGCACCTTCAGGCTTTCTGGAAGCAAACTCCTGCTGGTAAAGGCATCTATGGCCGCTTTCAGCTTTCGGCCTTTGGTTCGACTGAGGATTTGGCTGGCTGTGCTGAAGCCTTCGCGCAAGCCAAGCGTAGGGACTTCCGCGTTTTTTACCTCCTTGCCGAGGAAGCCATCTTGAAGGCCGGCGTGAAGGGGTGCGGATGGACGGCACCCGGCGGGACGGGATTGACGCCACCTCTTCAGGCCGGCGGGAAGTAGGGGGACGTTATTTTTTCGGGGGGAAGTAAAGAAGGAAGGACTCTTGAAGGACAATGTTTGAATAGATCTTAAGACCGCAGACCTGTAAGTGGTGACCCGCAATCAGTAATCTTCTTTCAAGGAACATCAGTTTTCCAGTTCTTTTTCTCAGTGTCTTTTGCATCTGCTTCACGAGACTCTCATGTGACTGATCGTCAAGTTGTTTCGTACTCAGCTAGTTGTTTCATGTTGCTTAGTTGGTTCAGCAATGCTCTTTGGGTCCTCTTTGGGTCCTGGAATGGCCACTGAAAGCTTGCCTTGGGTTGGTTCATTGCTCGGGTTTCTTCACATTCCTTTGGAATGCCAGGAGAAATGCTGGCACTGGACCCAAACAGCTGGTGGATTCTCTTTTCGGTCACCAGATGTCAGGGTTCTTTCCTTCTTGACTGCCGAGACTGGGGGTTGGACCTGAGGTGCATTTGTTTGAGGCCTCCGAGGCGGCGGGGGGGTCCCGGACGGGGATGCTGCGCCAGCGGCCTGAAAGGCCTTCTTCGGAACCAAGGAAAGGCATCCACTGGAAGGGTAGGGCTGGCCGATTGGTTGATTCCCAAACCAAAAGTTCGAGGGATGGTCGTGTACGCTGAGAAACGCGGCATAGACGAGGTCCCCTCTTGAAGCCAATCTGGATGGCTCTGTGCCTTCGAAAGGCAAAGAGACTGAATTGGCTTTTACACATGGGGGTTCAGAAGGACCTACCGTGGTCGTTTTGGGTGGTGGTCAAAAGTTTCGAATATGATACTGTACATGTGTTCCATCCCGAACTTTTGGGTTATGGTTCTGTCAATTGACCACTTCTTTTCTCAGGGGATGGGGGGCATCTTTTTCCCACTGTGTTGACTCAGAGGCTCGGCTCGAGCCAAGCTCCACTCCGCAGGGCCACGAAGAAGTGAGTGAGAGAGATCCTCAATTTCACACGATCCCGTCGATCAGATCATGGTGACCGCAGGGTGAAACGACCACCTGTATCCACCTGAAATTAATGGACATCATTGTTTTTCCCCACATCTCTGTGTGGGGTTCTAGTTTTTTGGCTGCCATCCCGCCCGACTCCGCCCGCCCTTTCCTCCGCCCGCCCGTCCTTCCCTCCGCCTGCCCTCCTTCCCTCCGTCCACTCCCTCACTCACTCAACTCCCAACTTCATCTATTTTCGTCAGCACATTCACACACACAACACAACATCTCACATCTCACATTCACACACACAACACAATTCACTCACTCACTCACTCACTCACTCACTCACTCAATTCACTCACTCACTCACTGTACCCAGAGCCTCACAGCCGCGGCAGGCGCAGTACCCAGAGCCTCACAGAAGGGGCTGCGGCGCGCGTTGTCGCCGCTGGTGCCGCTGGCTGTCTTCCGCGTGGCAGGCGCAGTACCCAGAGCCTCCCAGAAGGGGCTGCGGCGCGCG